ATAAATAAAATCTTTTAAAAAATAAGGTAAAAAATAAAGTAAGTGCTGGGGTAATTAGCAGTCAGTATCTCTGTGGCAGCTGAGCAAGTTGGTCCTTCCCGGGGAAACAGAAATGAGCTGGTAACTGAAAGCCTCAGGGCTCATATTTCACCCCTTTACAGAAAGTCCAAGGCCTAAAAATTTTTTTTGTTGAGAGAGAGAGAGCACGCATGTGCTCACTCATGAGCCAGGTGGGGGGAGGGTTGTTTAGGGGAGGGGGTTGGGGGAGTTGGGGAGGACGGGGATGGAAGGAGAGGCTTAACTGACTGAGCCACCCAGGCCCCCCATGGCCTAAATTTTAAAGTAGACCTTCCCAGAGGCAGCCCAGTCCTTGTCTCATGACTGGTAGAATCGCCTGCATTTGAGGAAGTCATCCCAGTGGCTTGGCATCATGAGGCAATTGTGTCTTCCTTCTTTAAAACTCAAATGGGTCAGGTACAGTTAACCCTTGACAACACAGGTTTGAACTATGTGAGTCCACTTCTACACAGATTTTTTTTTCAATAAGTACCGCACAACTGTAAATGTATTTTCTCTTCCTTATGATTTTCTTTATATTTTCTTTTCTCTGACTTGCTTTATGGAAGAATATAGCATATAATACATAGAATGTACATGCAAATATGTGTTAATTGTTTGTTGTTGGTATGACTTCAGATCAATAGTAGGCTATTAGTTGTTAAATTTGGGGGGAGGCAAAAGTTATATATGGGTGTTCAACTTCACAGGGGGTCTGTGCCCCTAACCCTCATGTTGTTTCATAGTCAACTGTATAAGTTTTCCCAAGAAATACTTCCTCTTCCTGACATGTTGTTTATTTTTTCAAGACTTATTTTAGAGAGAGAGAGAGTGGGGGGAGGGGCAGAAGGAGAGGGAGAGAATCTCCAGCAGACTCCCCGCTGAGGCAGAGCCCGATGTGGGGCTTGAAGCGGGGCTCAATCCCAGGACCCTGAGATCACAACCCGAGCTGAAATCAAGAGCCGGCTGCTTAACCAACTGAGCCACCCAGGTACCCCCTGAAATTTTTTTTTTTTAACTTTTTTTCTTTAAATAGGCTCCACGCCCAATGTGGGGTTCCAACTTACAACCCCGAGATCAAGAGTCACATACTCCACCAACTGAGCCAGCCAGGAGCCCCCTCTTCCTGACATCTTAATGATAATTTAATACACAGTAGATTATTACTCATATTATTTGGCACAAACATTGGGAAGGACACATTCATAGGACACACGCTCTGTAGTAAGTAAGCATTATCCCAGACCTTGTATACTCTTTTCTCCTTTAAACTTTGTCCAATTTTACAGATGAGAAAACTGAGCCTCAGGTAAAGTAACAAGCCAAGTCACAGAGCTCATACAGGGCCCAGCGAGTCAGGGTTTGCATTGTCTGTACACCCTGGGCGGTGGTGGTAGCCTGCGAGTGTCCCAGTGGGTGACATGTGACTCATGGTGGTGAGTTGGATGGGAGGAACACTCTTGAAGCACCCCCTCTGTAATCCAGTGAATCCAAAACACTGAGTTCATCAGCGGCTTGTTCATGGACAATTTTTAAATTATGCAGCTATTAAATTCCCACCCGAGGGCGCCTGGGTGGCTCAGTCGTTAAGCGTCTGCCTTCGGCTCAGGTCATGATCTCAGGGTCCTGGGATCGAGTCCCGCATCGGGCTCCCTGCTCCTTGGGAGCCTGCTCCTCCCTCTGCCTCTCTCTCTCTCATGAATAAATAAATAAAATCTTTAAAAAAAAAAAATTCCCACCCGAAGCTTAGAGAGATTAAGAAATTTACCCAACATCACACAGCTCATAAAACCCTAAATCCTGGAAGAGTAAGACCAATACTTGCTAACACTTCAAGCATGTGGCTTATATGGCTCTATGATAATTTAGGGAGGATGATCTGTGCTTTCTGAGGATTTCGAAGAAAAAGTTATTTTAAAAGTATAACAATATTGTAATGATGCTGTATGGACATGAAAGAAGAAATGTTTTAAAAATGATCCCCGTCCTGAGCCTAACCACCCTAAAAATAACGTACTTTTATTTTTCCATCTCCTTTTGGTGACTGGCCATATTTATGCATACTTTATATAATTATCATCAAGGCAAAGATTCAGTGGTATTTTCTGGTCATTTCATTAATCATTGTAGCATTTTTCAGTGTTGCTACATTTTCTTCATTATGCCCATTTTATTGATAAACTAGGATTTTCTTAGAAAGCCTTTAGTTTATTTCTCAGATTTCTCTCCTCTCTCCTTCTGCCTCACTAGCCTCCCTGCCCTGTGATTTCACATGATCCCGGCTGATGTTAAGGGTGGTGATCCGAAATGGGCCCCAGATGAAATTGGACTGAAGCCATAAAATTGTGGTTTGGGTTTTTTTAAAACGAAGTCAGAATTTGGGGGTGGGGGAGCCTTCTCACTTTTCAAACATGAGACTTGCTCTCCCTTCTCCCACCATTAGCTTTTGCCAAGCATCAGCCTCAGCCAAGTTCCGCTAACAGAGCCGTGCTGCCTGCTATCCCTGCTAATGGAAAAAGCAGTGTACCCTGGTTGCCCGGGCTACCCCTCCAGTGTGCTTTAGGTATTAGGTGCGGGCTGGGAGCACTTAAAAATAAATCAGCCAGGTCAAGGCAAACATTAATCCTTGCTCCAGAGCTTGTTATTTTTTTTAAGTTAATGAGCTGGAGCAGAAGCAATAGAATGTTCGTATTCTAAAGCCCCCAGTGAGCTGCAGGTCAGATGGTGTATTTTTTGACCTAGTGGGTGGTCGAGGTACCGAACTGCATGCAGGACACCTTGGAGTTTCTGTCCCACAGATCCTAGGTTGGCCAATAGAACCGAGCTCTTCTGTTGATTCACTCTCCCCCGCAGTGAGCTCTTGGGTCGCTAGTGGGTGTCATTTAAAGATTTGGACTTCTGGGGGCTCCTGGGTGGCTCAGTCGGTTAAGCATCTGCCTTCCGCTTAGGTCCTGATCCCAGGGTCCCGGAATCGAGCCCCACATCTGGCTCTCTGCTCAGTGGGGAGTCTGCTTCTCCCTCTTCCTTCTGCTCCCCCTGCTTGTGCTCTCTGGATTACTGTCTCTTTCTCAAATAAATAAAATCTTTAAAAAAAAAAAAAGATTTGGACTTCAGCTCTCAGGAAGTTGACAAATACTTATTTCTGAAGCACTGCACTAGGGGTCCGGGAAGGTGAACGAGCTTTGGGGCCCGATGTCAGCTCTAGGGGTTTGCAGTCGAGTGGGAGAGCTCTAAACTCGAGAAGGCAACAGTTCGGGTGGCACATGGGTACTGCAGGGCTTACAGAACTGTAGGGGAGTGAAGGCTCCTAGGGCTGGAGAGTCAGGAGGAGTTTCATTCACTTGTTCAACAAGTATTTATTGAGCTGGGAACATCATAATGGGCTTTTGTCAAACTGCATTTGAGTCTAGGGGAAGGCAGATGGCAAGACGGTGATTTCAGAAAGTAGGATTAAAAAAGACGAAAAGAAGATCTAGAGAAAGGGTTTTCCAGGCTGAGGGAATAGCCAGTGCCAAGGCCCTGAGGCAGCAGGAGCCCAATGTGGGAGGGTTGGCACGAGGGCCCCTCTCTGCCTTCAGGTCTCGGCTGCAACCTCTCACCAGAGAAGCCTTCTCTTCATCCTCTCTCAAATAGCACATTACGTTTCACTTGCCTCCCCCATACCCTGCTTTACTTTTCTTGTTGGTATTCATGACATGATTTTATATTTTATATTCATTTTTTGTTTGCTTACTTGCTGTTCCCAGCTAGAAAGTAAACTCTGTGAGATCTGGGACTTTGTTCTGTTTATCCCTATTCCTCAGGTGCCTAAAATATTGCCTGGCACAGAGTAAGTACTTAGTGAATACTTGGATGGCCGAGTGAAAGGTTCATGTGGTTGAGCATAGAGAACAAGGGAGACAGAGGTACAAGATTCAGAGGAGGGCATAGGTGGGAAGGAGGATACGCCAAGCATTTATGAGGGAATTGTGTAAGGTCTCTTTAGGGACCGTGCAAAGACAAAATGCACAGGGGCATAAGAAATCATCTAGAAGGCAAACCAAAGAGGCTTCAGTGGAAATGAGAGAGAACATTAGCCCTTCTTGTACCTACTACATTGATCCTTTCTCTTTTCCTCCCTCTCGCCCTCCTTTCCTTTCTCCCTTTTATTTTTCTTTTCACATTTGTTGAGCACTTGACCATGTTCCAAGCTCTGTTGGCCCCAGAGATACAAAAGAGGAACAAAGCATGGTGGGATATTTGACTTCAGAGGGAGCAGTGGTCCATCCCAAAGATTTGGAAGGAGAGATTCAAATGACACCAAAATGTAGGGAACTGAATTATTTGGACAGAAACTCGTATGTGTTTTCCTAGCTTTTCTTGTTGCTCCCAGCATTAACACTGACATCTGGTAATTGGCTTAAAGATTATAGTTCTGGGAGTTCGTGTCTGACTCGCTAACGCTGATGGATGTGTATATATTTATATGACTGAGAGCCAAATAATTATTATAAAGAATTAACATAGCGGTTGGCAAATAAGATCAATGTAAACATGACGAAGTTGATTCACATGGATTTAATGAAAAGACTATATAAAGATAATAGAAATACTTGGGCTTACCAGGGGAAGAATGTGTTTGTGTGTGTGTCAACCTCTTTGATGGGGCTTCGCAGGAAAAAGAACCGTGTTGTCTCATTTCCTTCCCCTCAGGAATAATCCCGGCTAATGGGAAGGTGAACGTGACTGTCAAATTCAAACCATTCCAGTATGGGATTGCGCGGATAAAAATGCAGCTGTGGATCTCACAGTTCAACTCTCAGCCATATGAATGTGTCTTCACCGGAACATGCCATCCCAACATGGCTTTACCGTATGGCTGCTTTGGAATGTCTTTGTTTCTTCCTAAAACTTTGTAAAAAAGATCCGAGCCTCCATGTCTTCCATTCTGTCTTTCTTTCTTGTAACAGAATGCCCTCCAAACCATACTTAAAGTGATGAACTTTCAGAAAATACTCTTTAAAATATAACAATAATGCATAGAATAGCTCTAGGCTTATAGCAGTGTGTTGTTCCTGCCAAGAGGGGAAGAGATGACCAAGAAAAGGTGGATGGAGGGATACTTGCCTTCCCTGATTACTGCTGCTGTGCTGGTTGAGTTTTGACCATATGTATGTATTATATATATGTATATTACATATATGTATATATATGACCATATGTATTACGTTCTTTCAAATTTATTTTTTTTAAGATTGATTTATTTGAGAGAGAGAGAGAGAGAGTGAATGTGCACAAGCGGGAGGGGCAGAGGGAGAGGGAGAGAGAATCTCAAGCAGACTCCACGCTGAGCACAGAGCCCGATGCGGGGCTCCGTCCCATGACCCCGAGATCACGACCTGAGCCAAAATCAAGAGTCAAATGCTTAACCAGCTGCGCCACCCAGGCGCCCCCACTCTTTCAAATGTAAGTCATAGGACAGGAACAGCATAACTGTTTTCAAAAGTTCGATATAACATTCTACTTAGTTACAATTAACTGAGTGCCTGCTGTATGCCATGTCCATTGCAAAGCCCCATGGGACACAGTCCGCACTCTGAGGATGCTCACAGCAGAGGAGCCTGAATCAGTCATGGATCACGAGTGACTTCGATGCAAGGCAAAAATGAGAACGTGCCACATGGGAGGTTTTGTTGGGTTTTTCTTTTTTAAGAATCCCCAGCATTCAAGTCCACGTAAAGGTGAGAAATGGGATTAAGTTTTACTTCATAACAAATTTTTTCCGAACTCCTATTTCTATATGAATGTGAGCTTGTATTTTTATATCCCAATGTACCTGGTTAAAGTGATAAGTTTTTCCCAATATGCATGAGTCTTATAAAAGCTAAAGGAAAACTTGTCACGGTATCAATCCTAATCTTGAAAAATCCTTACAGATTTTGGAAAATGATAAAGAAATAGCTGGCTATTCCTTTTCTCCCCTCACACATAGATACACATCACATATTAACCTAATTAGGCATATTAAAAGTAGAGTATATCAAAATATGAACTAACTCCATGACTTATTATATATTTATATCATGATCTTCCTAAAAATTCAAAGCAGCCTAAATCAACTATGGGATGTTAGTGTGGCCTGCTGAACTCAAATCCTGCAGGTAACCATAGGAGAAATAAAATCATCATGGCAATAAACAAGTAGCAGTGGCTATAAATAAAAGACAGTAGTAATTTTTCTGGTATTTTCTGGCCAAGAAAATGCGATTTGCCATGTCACATCATATGCGTGATGTACAAATGACTTTCTTAAAGACATCACCTGAGTGGGATTTTTGCTTCCCACAGACACGTTCTTAAATACACAAGAGCGTTGTACGGAAGAAGCACCACGCAAATGCAGACATCCGCTCTTTCTAAACTATTATGTTTGGATCACCCAGCCAGAGTTTAATATCTTATTTAGTGCACTTTTGATGTTTTCAAGGACTCCGTCTCAAGACCTGCATGTCTCCCCAGACTGCAGACTAATACTAGAACATATGAGTTCCACCGTCTAGGAAAAAAATTATCCTGGCCACGGTGTTCTCTGAAAGTGTCACAGGGAGCTTTTTGTTGTTATTTCAGAATACAGTGCTCTACTGACTGAGCCAGCCAGTATTCCACCAGAATACGGTGGAACTTGCTGAAGTTCCACGAGTAACTCCTTATTAAAATGTATCACTTCCTTAGACTCCTTCATTTCTGTTGTCAGCATTAGATCCCTTAAGGAGCCTGTTTTGTTTTTTTTTTAACACCTTCAAAAATTTTTTGTTGTTCCCCAATATTTATAGCAGAGGTGATGTCAAAGTTCTGATGATATGTGGGTGCTGGACCACCTCTAGCTTCGTAACCCAGTGCCTCCGCCCTGCACGCTACAGTCTTGTCAGTCAGTGGGTATCTCACCAAAGGACACGTTCTCTCAGGTCGTTGACCTTTCAGGAGACTCTTCCATAGACGATGTTAAGTTTGAGATTGCTGGCATGTCCCTGTGTTGTGCAGTGGGGTCCGTTCAGTAGGTGTTCAGCAAATGGTTTGTGACCATCAGAATGAATGAATGTTAGTGTATTCATATTTCTGTAATATCATGGACATACGTAATCCTGCAAAACTAGTATTCACATATTCTCACCTAAAGAAACGCTTCATAGCATTGAACATGACGTAGTTCTACTACATCCCATAATAAACGACTCCAGGAGCTTCTGTAGGCAGGGTAGTAGCCCCGTCTGTGTGTCCATAAATGTCCAAAAACAGTTTTCAGTTGCAGAAAAGATCTCGAACATTAGTCTGAGTCACTTGGGCATAATCATTCTTTTACTAGGAACATACATCAGTGGAGGAACTTTTTTAAATGTAGTAGATTTAGCTATTGAAAACCAATAGCTGAGAAATGAATCACACTAGACCAGGAGAGCATTTTTCAGCATGTCATATGGTCCACTTGTTATGTTCTTTGAGAAGGTAAGGAAGAGCCACCATTGGTAGACGATTTTGGCATATAGGATTATAGTCTGGTATACTAACATTACATTTATTTTAGTAGACCACTGTTTTAGCACACAGATTTATTTTCAGTATAGTTATAGTCATTAAATGGACTGAAAGTCATGATATTATCAGAAGGAACATAAAAATAGGAACCTTGTGGGACACCTGGCTGGCTTAGTCAGTAGAGCACGTGACTGTTGATCTCAAGGTTGTAAGTTCGAGCCCCATCTTGGGTGTAGAGATTACTTAAAAAGTCTTTAAAAAATAGGAACTTTGGGGCACCTGGGTGGCTCAGTTAAACCTCTGCCTTCAGCTCAAGTCATGATCCCGGCGTCCTGGGATCAAGCCTCGTGTCAGACTCCGTGCTCCATGGGGAGCCTGCTTCTCCCGCTCCCTCTGCCTCTCCTACTCCCCCGCTTGTGCTCTCTCTCTGTCAAATAAATAAATAAAATCTTAAAAAAAAGTAGGAACCTTGAGTTGTTGGATTATATAGTAATTTAATATCTGTTTTAAACTATAGATTAGAAGAATTTGAAAGATTAAATGCTCTTTCTAAGAAAGTAGACGTTCCTCCAGGAAAGGCAATGACACACATACCTTTCCAGCGACCGCCACCAAAACGAAAGCCTCCGAAGATTAAGGTAACCTGGATGTTACGCTCAACGTGATAGAAGGAATGATAGAGAAGCAAAATAATGAATTTTCCCTCCTGATTTTGCTCTCAGGAAATTGAATATCAGAACTTGAGATTTCCAGTAGATTTATCGAATCCATTTGCTGTGGCAACTGTTTTAAACCAAGAACCAGGAAAATTGAAGATTAAAGAATTAAGAGAAGGTAACTAGTTGATCCATTGTAAATCAGCCACTGGCCGAATAGTGAAGAATTATTGCTTGTCACATTTACTATTTATGAACAACAACAGCAAAACTCAGTTAGATGGCTGTTATGTTTTACCATTAGAAATGTGGTTTTCTCCAGGCACTTGGGTAGCTCAGTCATTAAGCGTCTGCCTTCGGCTCAGGTCATGATCCCAGGGTCCTGGGATCGAGCCCCGCATCGGGCTCCCTGCTCAGCGGGGAGCCTGCT